CACCAACACTGCCACCAACACCAACACTACCACCAACACCCCAACACCAACACTGCCACCAACACCAACACTGCCACCAACACCAACACTACCACCAACACCAACACTGCCACCAACACCAACACTACCACCAACACCAACACTACCACCAACACCAACACTGCCACCAACACCAACACTGCCACCAACACCAACACTGCCACCAACACCAACACTGCCACCAACACCAACACTGCCACCAACACCAACACTACCACCAACACCAACACTGCCACCAACACCAATAGTTATTTAATATGGTTCAAACTTTCATTGTGGAAACAGTATCATGGAAAATAGACTTGATACGTTATTGATGACGATAGACCTACACTTAATCATATAATACTGTAATATTTAGTAATAATAACAAGTTAAAACTGTATTTTGAAATGTATGTCAAATAAGTTTTTCTTGTCATTATAAGGGGACTTTTTTTTTTACCTTTGTTTAGCGAAAAAGATGATTTTAATTTGGCTGATTAGTGCATCCGCCACCACGAAAAAATGGAAGTTTCAGAAATGAAGTTTTTCTTTATTTTTCCATTTTTATTACGCCCGCTGCTGTCTTGAAATCTCCAAAAATAAGAATTGCCTATTTCTATTCCTAATTATATAAATTTAAAGCATTTAACCATCCTATTACTACAGTATTTACATTCACCAATAACATTGTATTCTATATTCTCCTCTGTCTGGATGTTTTTGGCAAAACCATTTGCTAAATAAGAAAAGTAAATTTTATATTTATTTTTTTCCCGCCCTTCTCTTCACGATCTTTAAAAAAATAATTTCGCGAAACAAGGTATAAAAGAAGTTTCACCTTATTAGGGTTTCGTCCACATGTGTAGGAAAACAGGAAGGAGTGATTGATAAGATGTAAATTAACATCTATTTCTGTGCTCTGTTTGCAGTTGATGGCTCTTCTGACGACATTGACATCGTCATCAAGAAGGTCGTTCTTGATTTGCCATTCACGAACCAACACAATCTTGGCACTATGAACTCAATCAATTGGGGGCGTGTCATGGTACAGACTATACACTATTTTTATGCATATTTCTCGCAAGCCAAGAGCATAGGTGACGTTGTAGAGATCATCGTACCAACTGGTGGCCTTGGAAATTGCACAGGTAAAAATGTTGGTTAAGACAAGGGTAGAGTGAATTATACCACAACCATTTTTTTTTTAACTTTAGGAGGTGCTCAATGGTTGGCTTGATTAGGGCCTATTGTAGAGGTGTTCAGTGATTGAGTGGTGTAGAAAACAAAGTTGCTGAAATTATTTCATTTATTATACTTTTCAGCTGGATGTTTTGCTTCGAAAATGGGACTCCCTATACGTTTGGTGTGTGCTGTGAACACAAATGACATTGTCCACCGATCTTTCTCTACTGGAGACTATTCGGTAGCCATTATGAAGAGGACACTGTCACCTGCAATGGATATTCAGGTTATCAAATTTTTTTTTACAAACAATTGTATGCCAATATATAGTCATAAGTCATAAGGTGCCTGTATATGGTCATGATGTGATGTCATCAAGACCATATTTGAGCATTTCACATGTCAAAATTTGATAGTCTACACAGGGCGTAAGATTTTTTTGCTAGAGACAATATTGTAGATAGATTTGAGATGAACATGTGTTAAATGATGGGAACATAGTCATCAAAAATGCTTGCCAGACTACAATCTATGCTGCTTAGTCTTTGTACTAATATTTTTTTAATGTTCTTTAGGTCAACTGGCATTTTCTTTCTTCTTTTTTTCTTCTTCACATCTTCCTTCCAATAAACTTAGTATATGGCCTATTCAATTCTTCTGTACTTTAAATGTGTCTTTTCTATATACGCTCAGCAACTTATCACGTTTTGTTACTCTCTGTGTTGCCAATCATAATCATCTTTTTTCTTACTTGCATTTGTAAGCTTGCAACATAACTGTTTCTGAGGTATTCTGTTTCTGAGGTATTTACTGTGGGGCATCATTTTCAATGGTGATATAAGGTGATTGCTGCAGATAAATTCTATTAATATGTTTGGAGGCTCCTCGATGCTAAGGCTGTGCCTTGGTGAGGAGCCTCTGTGTTACACATTGAATAAAAAGAAGGTGGTTTTTTTTTTTTGACATCAGGATCTAGCCTGAAATATATATTCCATATAAATCTTTAGGGTGAATATTTATCATTGATAGGTTGCGTACAACATTGAACGCATTATGTGGTTGGTTTCTGATGGTGACTGCGATCTTGTGTCCAAGGTACTTGTAGACTTTGAGTCCAGTAACCATGTAACAAGGATACCGCCTGATCTTCTGAGCAAGGTATCAGAATTAGAACAATTACTTTACTATCTTTTATTTATGATTTGGATTTTTTAATTCTGTCTGTTAAGACCTGTAAAAGAATGTTCCTCGACATTTCAATTAGAAGAATACTGAATAGTGCGTTGAAAATAAACAAATAAATTACCAATCTGAAATGAGATAAACTTAAGGCAAGACTTTTTTATACCTTGTTTCGTGAACTTATTTTTTGAAAGATCGTCAGAGGAGGGAGGAAGACGGAGGAGAAAATAAAAATAAAATTTTAATTGGTGAATGTACATAGTGTATTAATGGGGTGGTTTAATACTTTAAATTTGTATAATTAGGAAGAAATGTGCGCTAATTGGCCAAAAATAAAATTTTATTGTTATTGGAAATCATCATTATTGAAGGGTGGTGGGTTCGCTAAACAAGTTACAAAGAAAGTCTCGCCTAATCAACTATTAAGAAAAAAAGATTAATATTGGGATATAGGTCTGGAATCAAGGATATAGTATCATCTATACCGTATCATTTTCACAACAGTTCTTAAATAGATTAGCAGCCAGTTTGTGAAAACAAAATAACATGCATGAAAGCTCAGTCTGTACTATCAAAGTTTATGTGTCAAATGTGTGTGATGTATCCATATATGGGTATGATGATGTCGTATTACACCCATATATAGACAAATCACATGTCAATTCATTTTTGATAGAAATTTTATGTGGATGCCATAACATACCTAATATAGTATACAGGTCTCTGAATTAGCATATTCTTTAATCCATCTTTGATAATTATGTTTAATTTGAAGATTCAGAAAGTGATAGGATCAGGAGTGACCGATGATGAAACTACATTGAAGACAATGGTTCGATGCTGGCAAGAAAATAACTATTTACTGTGCCCACATACTGCAGTCGCCGTGGCGTATTACTATCGGAAGAGCGAAAGGTTTGTTGTTTTGAGGGTATTTTCTTATATATCATGTATTTCGTCGATGAAACACAAAAACAAACAAGATAACAAGATGAAAAATATGATTGAAAAAAAAGTTTAAAGCCTATCTTCAGCAGTGGCATATATAGGAACATTGAAATGGGGTGGGGGTTTATGGGGGAGGGGAAGCAAATGCGAAGTTGGGGAGCGGTGATCCTTAGTGCTTGCGTCTCAACGTATTCATGGAATCACTTAGAATCCATACTAACATAGGTATATCTTATTGTAATTTTTTTTAGAGAAAGAGAAAAACCAAGGAGTGTTTGCATTGCTACTGCTTCGCCTGTCAAGTTTCCTGAAACTGTTTTAAAAGCTGGTCTCACTCCCCATACTACTGACGAAGTGTCCAATCTTAAAAATATGCCAACAAAATTCACGGAGATGAAGCTGGGTGAGGATTGGGAAAGTATGCTGAGAAACTGTATTATAAGTATATCTGAGAAGAATGTGTCAGTGTAGCTGTCTCTTATACACATCTAGATGTGTATAAGAGACAGGATATAAGGTGATTGCTGCAGATAAATTCTATTAATATGTTTGGAGGCTCCTCGATGCTAAGGCTGTGCCTTGGTGAGGAGCCTCTGCCCCCTGGACGGGACACTAGTCCATCACAGGCTGTCTCTTATACACATCTAGATGTGTATAAGAGACAGGAAGCTGGGTGAGGATTGGGAAAGTATGCTAAGAAACCATATTATAAGTATATCTGAGAAGAATGTGTCAGTGTAGTTCAAATATGTTTTTAATGCTTAGAGCAAGTTCAGGACTTGTATTTATGAAATGATTGTGTATAATTTTGCAGCTTTTGAATGATCTTTCATTTTATTACCATCAGTCAAAGTCTTGATATATTTATTCATTTTAAGGAGAGAGCCAGTTGACTAATATAATATATATTATTTTAATTATTATATTATATATTCATTATATTATAATATTGAATTATAGGACATTCATTGTTATGCAAGGATGTGTTATTAAAAGAAAGTGACACCTTGAACAATTGGATTAATAATTTTGGAGAGAGCCAGTTGGCTAATATATATTATTTTAATTATTTCAAAATTCACAGAGATGAAGCTGGGTGAGGATTGGGAAAGTATGCTAAGAAACCATATTATAAGTATATCTGAGAAGAATGTGTCAGTGTAGTTCAAATATGTTTTTAATATTTAGAGCAAGTTCAGGACTTGTATTTATGAAATGATTGTGTATAATTTTGCAGCTTTTGAATGATCTTTCATTTTATTACCATCAGCCAAAGTCTTGATATATTTATTCATTTTAAGGAGAGAGCCAGTTGACTAATATAATATATATTATTTTAATTATTATATTATATCCATTATATTATAATATTGAATTATAGGACATTTATTGTTATGCAAGGATGTGTTATTAAAAGAAAGTGACACCTTGAACAATTGGATTAATCATTTTGGAGAGAGCCAGTTGACTAATATATATTATTTTAATTATTATATTAAGATATTCATTTACTAGAAATTTATTATTGTACAATGATGTGATATTAAAACAAAATGACATTCCATGAACAACTGGATAAATCACTTGTCTGAATTTACATTATTATTTTAACAAATAATGTAGGAAAAAAAAACATTTTTATTTTCTATATGTGGGTGAACAGAGGGAGCTGCAAGTCAAATTGGAGAATGAGATGGAAAAACCAAGGGAACTATACCTCATGAACTTTGACCTAGGGGTGAGGGGAGAAATGCTCTAAATATACTGTTGGATTGAGATTTTTATGTGACAAAATATGGGCATATTGATGTCATATTACACCCAAATAACTACTAATCCTTTCTGAGCCACTAGGGCTCATAAGGCTGGAGCTTATCCCCAGTTTCTGTAGTGTGAAGCGGATGAGAGTTGTACTCCCCCTGGACGGGACACTAGTCCATCACAGGTTAGTCCCCAGCAATTTGCTGGTACCCATTGATACAGCTGGGTGGACTAAAGCAATGTAGCTAAAGTGCCTTGCCAAATTACACAAGCGAATCTGCACAGCGGAGACTCGAAATTCCGACCTTCCGATTGAAAGCCCAAATGTCAACCGCTACGCCTCCAAATATGAGCATATCAATTTTTTTTGTCAGATAAAACGATAGTGTGGACAAATCTTAAAGGAGTAGAGTTTGTTGGTTGTGAGAATAAATTGTATGACCATGACAGCAACTGAACCCTTGACCCTGGCAATCAAAAGAAAGCATCTTAACCACCAAGTTATTTAACTCCATTTTACACAATGGAGTTGCTGTACATTCTATTATGTTTGCGTCATAGACGAAGTAAAAGAAATGAAATATTCTGGTCACATGCCATTGTTGTGCTGAAACAGGACATCTCAAATACCAGATACCTGTTGGTGTCCTCCGCTCAAAGTAGATCGGCTGTCATGAATTTCCATTCTTTTCAATGTTGCGCCATTCTCACACACTTCTCGTAACTCATTTCCATCCATTCTTTTATGTTGTTAGTCCATGTAAGTCGCGGCCTACCTCTGCCTCTTTTTCCATCAATTTTCCCTTCCAATATCTCCCTCTGCAATGCTTCCTTCCAAAGTATTCTAACTTTCTTTTATTTATTGAGTGTACTAGTGCTCTACACACACCAACTCTTCTTAACACCTCTGTACTTCTGATTCTATCTTTCCAGGAGATTTTTATTATGCGTCTACATATCCACATTTCAAAGGCCTGTATTCTGCTGATCATATTTGTGTTTCTGCGGCATATAATAGTGTCGACCATATATAGCATTGACCTAGTTTCTTTCTGTTGTTTACACTTACATTCCTTGAGGTGAGGACACTTTTCATACCTTCCAAAGCCACCCGAGCATCTTCCATCCTTCCCAGTACCTCCTTCTCAGATCTACCATCTTCTGTGATGATGTGACACAGGTAGATCATGCTCTTTACTTGCTTTAACTGTTTTCCATCAAGGAATATAATATATATCTTTTATACATTAAATGAAATGGTCAAAAGACAACATCCATAGATACTGTTCTTTATTATCTGTTTATCTTATAGATAGCCTATAGTCAACGAACCCCTTCACTCTATTTTACAGTTATACCCCAGAAACACTTCATCCTGCAGGGATATTGATTACCACAGGCACATTGCTATTTAAAGCATTCTTGCTTATTTAATGTACATGTATGTACAACATTATCACATTGAGACAGTTACCCTTAATAATCACCAACTGAAAGTTTTTGTGATCATTCTTAAACTGGAAGAGATGATAAAAACATTAACTAATGAATTATAATGCTCTTAAAAAAGTAATATGAATTTCAGGTTTTTTTTCTAGTAAATATGAAATCTATTAAGTATGAATTTGTTTTACACAAACTCTTGCTTTCATTTAGATTTTTTAACAATTAAATTCAGTTGTGTATATTGACAATGAGGTCAATCTGAACCGCTGACCCTGGATATTTACTTGCTGCACAGTACAATACACTTACACAGCGCATATAATGCGAAAAGAACTACCAGACCAGCATTAAGTGTACTTAATATTGAATTTCTCTAAATGAGTCCCTTAAAGCTTGTCCACACTAAGTTCAGAAGACAAATACGTGATTTGTCCATCATAAAACTAGTGTGAACAGAGCTTAACACATTGACAACCATGTAATTCCATCAAACTTGCATTTATTACTTAAAAATCCATATGAGTTTTCTCCTATGGTATTATCTGTCAACACTAATAACATGTGTGGACACGGCTTAAGGAAGATATAGATCATCTCAGCATTACTGCCTGACTGGGATGTTAGTATATTTAATTTACAATACGAATTTTGCACGTGTCTGAAAAAAAACATGCCCTCAATTATACTGTAAGATGTATCTTAAGTGACAAGGAGAGTGTCAACTGCAGAGTCATGTCCACGCTATTACGTTTTAAGTGACAAAGACCTGTACTTTGCCCATATATGGTTGTGATATGATCTCATCATGCCAATATATACACAAATTTGTCCAAAATTTGAGTGTGGACAGAGAATTTGGATGCATTTTAGTAGGAAACAGAGTAAAACAATAAAAGAAATTATTTATATAAGATTAAATAGTTGATAATATGAATATATATGCAATATTAGATTTGGAATAAATAATTTAATTTCTAGTCGAGCTAATTTATAGTACAGTTTTAGAAAAAAGTGAAAAAGGAAGACAAAAATAAATGTTTTTTTCAACAAAAAAAATTAGTAAACACTGTTAAAATTATGATGTATCTGAATATGTTTGATTGCTTCATTAGTATTCATTCAAGCCTCCAGAATAATTAAACATAAAAATATTTCTTTGTAATTAATGTTATGTGTATGTCGGTACATTTTGAAAAAGACTAACAAGTCTGCCGCTGCATGTTTGATTATGAATAGGTTGACCTGGAAAGTGCTTTCTCCAATGTAAAATTATTTTCTTCCATGTCTCTCTATAATATATATTGTTATTTCAGAACTACATGTTTAGAGAACTCATTTTAATCATTAAATTCCTTCTAAAAAATGAGCACTAGCTTTTAAATAGCATATGTCCAATACTAATTTATGTAACTTTTGCCATCCTCTGGACTGGATTTTCATACAATATTTACCATGTCTGTGTTAACACACTATACATGTATGACTTAGTGTGATATATTCATTTTTTTGACCAATTTCCATCATACCTTATGCATTTTTCTCTAGCTGTAAAATTGCAAAAAAAATATAAAACACATTCGATAATAGTCCAATAAACATGATATGGCTTATGTTAATCAGCTAATATACATAAATTAACATATGTTAATTTACTAATTAGCAAAAGCCATGTTAATGGTAAATATTTCAACAGAAATAATAAATTTGAGTTAAAAGATTTTTGTTATCAAAGGTCCTGCAACACAATTAGCAGCATTTTAAAAATGATTTATTATGAAATACAGTATAGTATTCTACAATCTACAAACTTCTGTTAGAGATCTCATTTTCAGAAAATTAATTATTAATTTCACATATCAAACAAATAGATACTTGAGGGCTATAATATCACTGGGTAACCAATGTTATATAAAATAATATTAAACAAAAATTTATTAAAGCTGAAGTGAAGGTGTAAAAACCTTTCACAGTCAAATACTTGGAATGAATTTATCAAAATGTTGAAAGCGTTTACATGCAGTCATCTTTATGTCCACTGTATTTTAATCAATCGTTGTCTATACCTCAACTGATTACACAAATGCCTGCACCTGCAGTGAAAAAGTCAAATTATATAACCTTTCCACGGCTAAATTGAAAATCCATAACTTTTGCCAGTCATTATAAATGTGAAAATTTATGTCCATCATTTTCTTTTTTGAATGCTTTGGATTTTCCAAGGCAATTTAGCGAAAATGGTCGATTTTTAAAAATCTACTACTTTTCCAGGTCTTCAGAGATTTCAAGTATTTTTTGTGGATGTGCTCCCCTCTTATTGTGGTAAGACTGGTAGAGATATTGAATGGTATGGATGTTAAAGTGGAATCACTGCTCAGGAGGTACTGCAAATGAGCCGATACACTGTGAGAATGTGCAAGATTTTTAAATAATTACAACGAGGCAAGATTTTATGTAAGATAAAAAAAAAATCTGAAGCCAAGCGCACAATTCCCCACAATAACGGCTTGACACCTTACATCATACCAAACACATACTAACAATATATGAATGAATGCAAACCATATAGGATTACACTCTGTTTGAAGTAAAATTCACTGTGCAAGACACAAAGTGCACCCTCTATTGGCATCAAGTGCGCCCCCTACAGACATAGGACCTTCAGCATGGATTTATCTCCAATGTCTTAATACTTTGATTTTTCAAATGAGTTGGTGTAACTGGAAGCACACAACGTTACATTAGATTGTTTTCATGCCTCATGTCTTGGTGTCTAGATAGTGATAAATCGCCAGCCATGCTGATAGGTCGTACTGATGCACGGCTTGAGTAGAATCGCTCCTGTTCAGCCAACTCACTTGCAAACCTGTCCTCTATTGCCTGTCAATAAAAAAAAAAACGGGCCCGAGTGAAATACTTGCCATGATAGAGGAAAAAAGAATCTTACGATATTACAATGTTATTGAATCTATAATGTTGCTTTTTATATCTTGTTTATGTCATTAATTTTTCTCATTGTGCAGTGATGAAGCATAATAAATAAATAAAATAATAAACAGACGTGCTATCAGTTTAAAAAAAGATCATTAATTGATTTGTGAAAAAGGATTCTTTAGGTATAACACGGCCCCCCCCCCCTCACTCACATATACGAGAGGAACTACGGTATGTGTCTTTGAAGAAGGAAATTTGAAAACATCTAGATTTGGAATTATTTGCTGTTGATGGTTCTCAGGATATTGCTTGAGATCTCAAATAAAATACTTTTCGTCTAATTTCTGCCATAAATGTTGCAAGACGATACCTACAACAGACCAAGTTTTTAATTTTTTTTTTTTTTGTAATAGCATCATATATAATACTCTTTGAAGCATGAAGAGCTCAAATAAGTTGATTAACAAATTTGATGACTATTAATTCAGATTGGCTTTTAAATATCAAGTAATATTCAAGGTAAACATTATTAACGTCTTCATGTCTTCGTTCATTATTTTTCTAGACGAGCCCTTGAATTATTGTAAATCAATATGAATTTCTAAAAAACAAATAAGGTTACCCTGAACTGTTAACAGGGCATTGGTAAACAAGACTCAAGTTATAAATAACAGAATAATTGCTCACATTATTATTACCTTTGAATGTTGTTTTAATAATTATTTAAAGAAATATTCATCCTACAATTTCTATATGAATGAGTACAGATTGTTACCTTCTTCCTTGGTCTTAAATTATCCCTCCATTCTCTTAGTTCTTTTGAGTGTTCCTCTTCTCTTTCTTTCAGCTTTAAAGTCTCTTGTTCCATTAATTGCTTCCTCTTCTCATTCTATAAAAAAAATTAGAACATTACACTATTAGATAACAATGCATACAATTATTACAGAGAACAGCATAGCTCCATCAGATACGCTAGTGGTAGCCACTGGGTGTTCCGACCAATTGCCATCAGGCCATTTGCCACGTAGGCCCTTTGCCACCTAGGCCCATTGCCACCCCAGATCCTTTGCCACCCGGTCAACTACCACCCGGCCATTTGCCATCGAGGCCTTTTGCCACCCTATGCCTGTTGCCACCAAGGCATATTGCCACCCAGCCCATTACTGGTTTAACTTACACTGAAAGAATAATAATAATAATAAGATATATAGAATACATAACCTTGTAAAGAAAAGCTCACAGTGCTTAAACCAGAACCATTATACATATCTATTACTATCTAAATGCTAAATTAAAAACTCAATGTTAATTAATAGTTACAGAGCAAATAAATTTGATTGGTGTAACTCACATTGACAGATGAAAGTTCCTGCCTACTAGCCTCATGTGCTGCCCTCATGTCCTCAAGCTGCTTCGTATGCTTCAACTCAAGCTTTGTGGTTTCCAACTTGCAACGTTTCTGCTCAGAGATCTGGAACTGCAACAGGATAAAAAATCAAGAAATTAATAATACTGTAATATGTTGATTATCTGAACTTTATTATATGCTTATGGCAAAGTTGGTATTAAATACACCTTTCCTTTCTTTGCATTAAAAAAAAATATTTGAATAAAATTAATATTGTTTTTACCTCTTTCAATCGTTCCCTTTCCTCCTCCGGTGAGCGATTTGATGTCTGAGCTTCAATCTGTAGCTTCTTTTTGTACATCTGCGTCCTGGCCTTCGACTCATTACGTAACCTTCTTGGCAGCCTTCGCTTTTCGGCAGCGTGCTTTGTTAATAGTTCCTGCTCTTCTGCTTTGTAAATTTCTTCAAATTGTTCAATTTGCTAGAAGAGACAATTCGTTAATTAATCGACCTATTTCATTCATCAGATAATACTTATAACAATAATAATATAACAATGATATTAATAATAACAATATTTGGAAAATATAATAAGAATATTATATAAAAATATTCACAGAATTCTTAATTTGATAAAGATTAAATATGTTATTGTTTTACTTTGTTTTTTTAGCCTATATCTTCAATGGCATTCAACTTTGTATATGGAAATTCCTATTTAAAATAATAAAGTTAAATTTATTATATTTTTTTGCACTTTATTCTTTTCATTCTTTTTATACTCATTTCGTTCATTGCTTTCCCCTTTAATTGCCTTGGGCCTACAGAATGGTTAAGTGCTTCAAATTTGTTTGAATACGAAGCTAAATGTAAATTATGAATTATTCTTATTATTATTTAGAATATATGATAAAGTTGATTGCATAAAACAATATTCAATAATCATATATCATATATATGGCTTTTTTTTTTGTCAGGAGAAATAATAAGAATCAATGTTTGCCCTACCTGATGTGCTATTGTACTGCATGTTCTGTACTTTCATCACTAGCCAAGCAAAATCTCAATCGTTGAGTGATTAAGACACTAGGCTAGTTATCTAGAGGTCGTGAGTTAGATTCCCACCCAAATCACTTGCAAGATTTTTTTCGCAAGCATTTGAAACTAAGCATTCAGTACTATAAAACGTCAGGTAGGGAAATACACTGATTCGTATGAATCTATGTTATTATTATTAAGAATAGATGATAAAGTTGATTGTGTGAATCCATATAACGTTCTACCTACCTTCTCTTGCCGGGCTAGTAAATGAGTCCGTTGTAAGAAGAACATGTCCTTAAGCTGCTTTTTGGAATTTTGATGTTTCTCGTGTAAATGTCGCTCCTCAAGCTCCCAAACAGCAGCTTCTCGGGCTGTTAATAATAAAACAGGTAAACATGATAGATGAATATGTTATTTAAAAGTAACACAATCGCAATGTTTTTTATCATCAATAACAATAATAATGATAATAAAATAACAACAATAATAACAACAATAACAATAATAATAATAGTAGACATAATGTGCCAGTATGCATCCAAGATTCTCCTGGTGCAAACAGATATGGAGAAAGTTATTTTCATATATAATATAATTCATATTCTTGACAGCAGTTTGACTTCTGAAAGGTCATTGTTTGTCAAAAATCAAGGGCCTAAGACGACTGAAAAGCGGAGTTTCCTTCTTTCGTTCTGTCGGGTAAAATAAATTACTTTAGGCGACGTTTGTAGACTAACCAACACGTACCAACGTCTGCATGTCGCGCTAGCCTTATCCTACTACAGGCCTAGACTAGCTAGGACGGTATAGGCCTAGCCTTGAAAGATGAAGGTCTCAATGAAAAACAACGTCGCTCCTTGATAGCTAACATTGTCTATTTAACATCACAATAATTCATTATTAGACCTATAGTTGTTTTTTGA